TGGAGAGCTGCTCTCCGATGGCGCAGCAGCTCGACGAGCTCGCCGACGAGCTCGCCGCCCTCGAGGCGTCGCTGGCGACGAATCCCTACTTTGTGAAATACGGCGACACGCTCTCCGAGCTCAAGCAGCGCGACCCGGCGACGTATCGCAGCCGCCTGGCGCTCATGCAGCAGCAGCAGGCGCGGGCCGCGCCGCCGGCGCCCGTCGCGCCCGTCGCGCTGGCGCAGGGCGTCGACGTCGCGAAGCTCGCGGCGCTGGACGCGAAGGCCGTCGGCGAGCTCTGGCGCGCGCGCTACAGCACGTCGCCCGGCACCGTGTCGGCCGTGATCCCGGGCTCGATCTGGCGCGGCATGGCCGCGCGCGCGGCGGAGTCGCCGCTCTTTTTGTATCCCATGCCGCAGGAGGACGAGTGGCGGCTCTACGTCGGCCAGTGGCGCGGACTATCGCTCCTCGTGACGCCGCTGTCGGACTACCGCGCCAGGGGCGCCGACGCGCCCGTCGCCGTCGTCCTCCAGCACTTCGACGAGCTCCTCGCGAGCCACGACCTCGCGCTCATGCTCGGCGGCGCCGCGGCGCGCGGCGCCGCGCCCCTCGACGCGCGCGAGCTCCAGCTCCTCGCGCTCCTCGTGCAGCACTTCCACACGGACCCGGCGGGCCTCGAGCTGCTCACGCGGTTCAACGCGCGGCCCGGCGAGTCGATCCACGTCGAGATCATCGCCGCGGCCAAGGCCGCGATGATGCCGAAGACGGAGTAACGGTTCGGTGAGGCTGAACGTGCCGGCGTGGGCCCTCTGGTGCGACGTAAGTTGCGACGTGCGCCGTCCGCGGGTCCCTCGCGTCGGATTCCTTAGTCGCGCCGGTGGCCGCCTACTGGCGGATGGACTTGGTGTAGTCGGGCATGCGGATGTAGGCCTGGGGCTCGCTCTTGCCGTCCTCGGTGAGGTAGATGTTGTTCGTGAGGTCGGCGATGGAGTCCGGCGGCGCGCCGGCCTTGGCGCGGTCGCACGCGTCCGCGACCTCCTTGCGGATGACCTTCTCCATGGCCTTGAGCTCCTCCTCCGTCGCGTCCGTGTGGTCGACGAGCATCTTCTTGACGTGCTCGATGGGGTCGCGCGTGGACCGCATCGCCGCGATCTCATCGCGGTTCCGGTACGTCGTGCCCGGGTCCGACATGGAGTGGCCGTGGTAGCGGTAGGTCGACATCTCGACGTACATGGGCCCGTTGCCCGAGCCGACGTAGTCCTTGACGTGCTTCATGCCCTCGCGGACGCTGAGCACGTTCATGCCGTCCATCTTGATGCCCGGGATGAGGTTGCCCATCGTGTAGTAGTCGTTGTTCGACGAGGACCGGGAGATGGACGTGCCCATGCCGTACTGGTTGTTCTCGATGCAGAAGATCATGGGCAGCTTCCAGAGCGCGGCCATGTTCGCCGCCTCCCAGATCTGGCCCTGGTTCGCCGCGCCGTCGCCGTAGCAGCCGATGGCGACGGGCATCTTCTCGCCGAGGGGCGTCTTGTACTTGTTGGCGAAGGCGAGGCCCGTGCCCACGGGCACCTGGGCGCCGACGATGCCCTGGCCGCCGTAGAAGTTCTGCTCCTTGTTGTAGAAGTGCATCGACCCGCCCTTGCCGCCCGTCTCGCCGTGCGCGTTGCCCATGAGCTCCGCGAGCACGCCCTCGACGGTGCCGCCGCGGGCGAGCATGATGCAGTGGCACCGGTAGCTCGTGATCCACGAGTCCTCCAGGTCCAGGGCCGCGTTGATGCCCGTGCCGATCGCCTCCTGGCCGTCGTAGAGGTGGCAGAAGCCGCGGATCGTCCGCGCCTTGTACTCGTTGTCGCAGGTGATCTCCATGCGCCGCATCGTGTACATGGTCTTGAAGTACCTAGGGGGGTGAGGGGTGTGCGTCGCGTTTCTCTCGGCGGTGGAACGCACTCGAGGAGCTCCTCCTTGCTCGTTTCGGCGACGGCGTCCGGCGCCTCGCAGCGGTGCGTCGCGTAGGCGCCGGGGAACTCGATGGTCACGGCGCTCATGGACCGCGCCGACGACGCCGCCGGCCGCGCGGCGCGGCTCAGTGCCCGCTGCATGAACATTGCTTAACACGTCGCACTAGACGACGACTGGTGTCGAAAGCAGGGGCGCCTTGTCGATTTCCGCGAGTGCAAACTTCTCGAGCCGGTGTTTCCCCTCAATGTACCCACCCGGGGCAGCCAAAACCGACCGCGGTGAGGGCAGCCCCGGGCGGCGCTCTCGCACACGGCACCATGCGCACGGGATGGATGAACAACCCGCACCTGCTCATCGACAAGGAGCCGGCGATCATCCACGACAAGGGCATGCACCAGCGCTGGCGCGAGGAGTGCGCCGAGAAGATCGAGCAGGAGAACGTCGCCATGGCGACGCGCCTCGAGAGCGTGCGCGGCGTCGTCGTCGCCGACAAGCACCGGCCGCGGCCGCCGGGCCAGCGGCGGCGGCGGCCCGGGCGGCCCGGGAGCCGCGAGCCGTCGGCGTCGACGCCCGCGTCCGCGGCGCCCGCGGCCGCGCGGCGCCGGCCCGGCGGCGGCGGCAAGGACGTGACGTTCGCCGAGGGCGTCGCGCCGGCGCCGGCGGAGGAGGTGTTGCCGACGCTCGAGCCGTCGAACCTGACCCGGGGCATCATCACGAAGCCCCGCGACGCCCAGTTCCACCGGTCGTCGAAACGGCCGAACGTGCTCTTCCGCGAACACCTGACGATCGACGGCATCCGCTGCTGCGTCACCGTCAAGGCGTCGAGCGCGACCCAGCTCCTCCTCGAGGTGGACCACGGCCGGGGCCAGCGGCACCGCCTGAGCCTGCCGCTGGACGAGGCCGCGGACGTGCTCGGCGTCCGCCGCGAGGTGCTCGGCCCGCCCGGCGCCGGCGACGCCGCGGCGGTCACGCGCGAGCTCCGCGCCGAGGCCTGGCGCCAGCTCGCGCTCTGCGTGCGGCCGGCGACGCCCGTGCGCGAGCGCATGGCCCTCAAGGCCGAGAAGGCCGAGGCCGCGGCGCGCGCCGCGCGGAAGCGCGACGCCCTGGTGCACCGGCCGATCAACGGGCCCCACAACAACATCCCCGAGCCGGCCTACGTCCCCAACGCCTACGGGCCCAAGCGCCCGCCGGGCGGCAAGCCCAAGCGCGGCGGCGCGCGCAGCGGCCGCGGCCGCGGCCGCGCGCCGGGCCCCGCCGCGTCGCCCGCGGGCACGCCCCGGTCCCGCGACGCGAGCCCGCAGTCGACGGCGCGGTCCCGCGCGTCGGCGCGGAGCTTCGCCGGCGACCCGCCCCGCGCCTCCGGCCGGGGCTTCGGCGAGCGGCCCGCCGCGCGGAGCTCGGGCCGCGCGCGGCCCCCCGCGGCGGCGGCCGCGGCGCCCGTCGCCGCGCCCGCGCCCGCGCCCGCGCCCGGCTCCGACGTCGTCCGCCTCGCCCAGGGCCTCGCGGAGCACGTCCTCGGCTGCTGCGTCGCCATCGCGCGCGAGCAGCCGGCCCTCTGGGCCGCGACGCGGGAGCGCTACGGCGCGTTCCCGCTGCCCGTCGACGCCGCCGCGCCCGCGCCGTCGCTGCCGTGCTAATCAGGAGACTAATCAGGAGAGCTTTGACAAGCCTTTGTTCTTCTCGGCGACGGCGCGTCCCGCCGGCGACGGCCGCAGGAGCCGCTGCAGCCCGGGCGCACGTCGAGGCCGAGCCACCACCGCTACCCTACTTAAGCGCCTCGTGGTGGGCGCAGATCTTCTCGACGATGGTCGGCGGCTCCGTCGCCTGCGTGAAGAAGTCGAGGAATTTGCCGTCGGGGCCGAGGAAGTAGAGGACGATGCTGTGGTCGATGAGGTAGTCGTCGGCGTCCTTGTCGTCGTCGGAGATGGAGCTGTAGACGCGGTAGGCCTTGGCGGCGGCCTTGAGCTGCTGGGGCGTGCCCGTGAGGAAGGACACGCGCGGGTCGAAGTCCGACGCGTACGCCCTCAGCTGCTCGAGCGAGTCGCGCTTCGGGTCGAGCGACACGAAGAGCGGCTTCACCGCCGGCGCGCCGGCCAGGCCGTCGAGGCGCCGGAGCACGTCGCCGACCTTGACGAGCTCCGCCGGGCAGATGTCCGGGCACTTGCTGAACCCAAAGTACATGAGCACGTACGACCCGCGGTAGCTCGCGTCCGTGACCGCCGCGCCGTCCGCGGCGTCGACGAGCGTCCAGGGGCCGCCGAGGCTCGGCACGCCGTAGGTCGTCTGCTTCTTCGCCGCCGCCGTCTGCCGCTTCTCCTTCTCGACGTTGTAGTAGACCGCGAGGCCGCCGCCGGCGGCGCCCACGAGCGCCAGGCCGCCCCAGCCGATGGGCGCCTTGATGCGCGGCGCGTTCGACGACGCGAGCGCGCGCCGCGGCAGCAGCGGTCGCGCGCGACGCAGCATGGAGAGATGCATGCTGCGGTGCTGCGCGTCGCTGCGGCGCGTCGCTGCAGCCGAGAGCTGCCACGGCAGAGCACACCCAAACCTCTCGGACGATTAGCCTCAATATGGGCTTCGCGCCGCGCCACAGGCCGTATGAGGCCGCCTGTGATCCCCGCGTCGCTTCCGTCCGCGTCTACTAGTCCCTGCGCGGTCGCGTGCCACTTTTGAGCGCTGGAAACGGCGTGCGCGCGACGGCGCACACGGCCTCGGAAACCGCCTGCGGGAGCGGCCGAGCAGCGGGCGGCGCTGGACGCGTCCGGAGGTCGCCGCGGGTCCGTAAACCGTCGCGGCGGTCCGTCCATGTTGCGCATAGATGCGGCGCGCGCTCAACTGCGTCGGCCGAGGCCGTGGTCGTGGTGCGGCGCGCGGCCGAAGACGGGTCCCGACGACACGTTCGAGGCGCGGACCGCGGCTAGATCTGCGCGAGTTCCCGTCGGCGAAGTGGCTCGTGCAGCTCGTCTATCACTACGGGTGAGCCGTGGCCCGACAGATCACGTCAAATCCGCCACATCGCCGTTCATGACCCCAGAACCCGTTTCGGCGGCGGTTTCGGGCGCCGCTCTGCGGCGGCCGGCGCGCGGGGGCCG